AACTTGGAAAGTTTCTTGAAAATCATTTCAAACTAAGGTATAAGCTAATTATAAGTTAGTTCAATGAATTTAAAGTATTATAAAAAGTGGCTGTTAGACAAACTTATAAACATATATATGATATTTTTTTTTATCATTTAATTTTTTTTTTTATCAAACTTCAAATTTTAAGAATTAAGAATTAAACATAACACCGATGAAATCAATGATAGTTGAAAATATACATAATATAATAATATATTTAACTAGTGTTTTATCATGTGTTTTACATAAACTAAATATTTATTATAGATAAATGAATTTTATTATAAATTATACATATAAATAAATAATATATTTTAATATATAATTTATATTAATTTAAAAATTTTATAAATAAATATTTTAAAATATATAAATTATATTTTATATTCATGAAAAATAATTTATATTGTGAATTTATGTATTTAATTATTAATAATTTATTTAAAAATCATATAAATGAATTTACATTATAATTGTGAAAATATTATCATTATCATGTCATGTTTCTATTTGTAAAATAAGAAGAATTTTGATAAAATGATGGGGATAAAAATGAGAAAAAATAACAAGTTGGGAGCTTATAAACCCAACTCTATTTTTTTACCTTACAAATTAATTTGAATTAATTTTTTTTTTTAAATAAAGTAAAACTTACTTGTCATAGAGACTAAGGCATCCATTTTTTTTTTTTTATAAAGAATATATTTTAATTAATTTCCCTTTAAAACCACTTTTTGTTTTTTATATATAAAAATTAAGGTCCTTATTTTAAAAAAAAATCTCAAAATGTATTGATTTTTACACCACAACTATTATTCTCTCGAATATTTAAACCAACTATATATTCATAACTTAAATTCAAAATTATTGATTAAATTAAAATCTCTAACATCAATTTATCTATGCGCTCAGAGGTTTTCAAAATATATTTGAACCAACTTCTTTTAAGATGAAAAATATGAGTAGAAACAACTACATCAAAGTTACCCTGGTATAAATTAGTTAAAAAACGTTTTTTTTTTTTACCAAATAGTTCTATTTTACAATTCATTTGCTACAGTTTTATTTTAGAGCTTGTTAATTTATTTTTTAAAAAGATTTTATACAAAGTAAAAGCTAATTTATTTTTGTTTACGATTGTAAAGAGTATTTTTTTGTTATAAAAGCTAGTTATAATTACAATTTTTTCACAAGTTGTTTTCAAACTAAATAGAACTTTGATTCTTTTCTTATTTTAATTTTCCACAAAAATTTAAACACACACTAAGATGTTTAATTTTTTTCACAATTGAAGTGATTCATTATGGATGAAAAAAAAAACTGAAATAATATGTTAGTCAAAAAAGTTTTTAAATTAATCAAATAAGATAGAAACCGGCTTATTTGCGTTGCCAAATATATTATTTCAATTGCTTATATATATATATATATATATATATATATATATATATATATATATAAAAATAAAAAAAAATTGTTACACGTGCCCTTACCATTTACCAACTATATATATATTTAAAATATAATTTATATATTCAATCATTATATATAATGTATTTTAAATTTTAATTATATATAAGAAACATATTTTCTATGCATTACATGCTAAAATACTTGTAAAATATATTTTTAAACTCATTAGAAGGGTCGATAAAATTGTAGAATAACATTGTTTTCAAATAAACTTTTAATGGGCTCGACCTAACATGCATGTAACCACTAGCCCAATATACCCGTTGCGGTCTCATTAGAGAGATAATTACTAACGACAATGATTGAAGGAATTCAACAACCGAATAAGTTTTCTTTTTTTGCCATTTATAATTAACTTATAAAAAAAAATTAATTAATTCATATATATATATATATATATAATAAAATAAAAAAGTTATAATCCTCAGGGAGAGCATTTTTAAAAGTTATTATTCAACAAATATTTTTTTAAAAAAATCTTCGACTAGAATATTTTTAAGAGTTTAAAAATACGATTCTTAAAATTAATAATGATGAAGTTCCTCTTAATTGATCTAAGAGATCATGTATTCTATGTTAGATGTATTTATTCTTAATTAATGGTTACCTTATTTGATTTTCTAATGTCTAACACATAATCTCATGTTCTCATTCTTGACATTTACCAAGAGAACTATAGCTCTTCAAAGTGATACATCAGGTTTGACAAACCCCATCTTTAACATATCATTTATTTGTTTCTTAAGTTTATTAACTCTAATTAATGGATCCATCCTATAGAGTGCTACCAACATTTGTCTACTCCCCGATACTAAGTGTATGGCAAACTTAACTTCTTTACAAACAGGAAACTATTTCTTAGGAATCACGTTTGGAAAGTTGCGCTTTGTGAGTATTGAGCCAAATCCAAGTAGACCTTTAACTTCGTTGAAAAATAGGACATGTATATTTGAGCTCTCTTAACGAAGTATATGTGGCAAACCATGACAAAAACAACAAGGTTCGACACAAAGGACTAAATATATTGATAGGTTGAGATTCAATAACAAAATTGGTTTTAGCAAAACAATTTATTGCAACATGATTATCCATCTCCAAGATAACATCTAACCCATTCATGGGAAGACAAACCAAGTCAATAATGTAAGGTTGATTTTTATACACCGAGTGTAATTCAAACAAGTGGTAGAGGTAGTAAAGATTCTTTTTTGGAAGAGTAGTTACCCATAAATCAAAAGGTAAATAAAAACATGCAACTCTTAATGCTTTCATACAAGATGGTGATACAAAATTGTTGGAATTTTTTTCTCTCTTTTATGCGAAACAATGATAATAAACACATTAAAAATGACGCCATAAACAAATAAAAAAAATTATACAAATTTATTTAATATGATTCAATCTTTCATATCTACGTTCATAAGAATGTTTATTATCTCAAAGTGTATTATATGTATATTTATAAAAATCTTTCCTTCAAGTTTTGTGGGTAAAACTTAAAAATCTTCCTTCACAAGTTTTATTTTCACAAGTTTTATAAATAAAACTTGTAAACCCCTTCCTTACATGTTTTATAGGTGAAACTCATAAACCTCTCCCTCACAAATTTTTTGACAAGACTTGGAAACTCTCCTTCATATGAATCTCTTTCTCATTTGAAGCGGTAACCCCTTTTATAAGTTGGATGATTCTTATCATTTTGAAAAACCTCTATTTATTGATTTAACATCATAATCTTAAAAGTGGAAACAAATCTTTAAAATAAATATAATATTGTAATTTTAAATAACATTGAAAAGATAAATAGTATCTTCCTATATCTGAATAATATCTTAAAAATTTGAAATTGAAAAGTTGAATTATTTTTTAAACAAAAAAGAATGTGTTGCTTTTGAATTGAATAATATATTAACATTTTTTTATTTTTAATAAAACCTAAGCATTAAAAGTTAGATTAGATCATTTGACTCTTACACTCCTCTCCTTATAATGTAAAGACTCTCCCTTAGTTAGGATTGTTCCCTAATCATGGAACACCTTACAAATTGTCCCACCCATTCCCACTAAGTAGACTAAGCCTTTGAAACTCACAACCAAATGACAAACCTTTTCTATAATTACAATAATTTTTTAAAACACTTTCTAAGATACCATCTTTTACCTTATTTTTATCATTATATTGCTCATTTTTATTTTATTTTGATAACTGAAAATTTTAGATTAGAAAAAGGCATGACTCAATGCAAAGTTAGATTTATATCGATCATTTAATTACATATTTCTCTCTACTTTATCTTTTTTCGTTTTATATATATAATTAATTAACAACATAATGCCTACAAACATTTCTCTTTTCCCAAAATTCAACACAATAAAAATATAGGGATGGGTTCATAGTTGTAGACATTGAAATCACACAGATTAAATAAATATAAATTCTTTTAGAGTTGGAGTTTTATGTGATAAAAGAATATATTCACATTGGACTTAGAAGAGTTTTGATAATAGAAATGTAAAAATTTTATTTTAGTTATTTTATTTTATTGTTTTTCATCTAATATTTTTTAATTGAAATATTTATTGTTTAATCCTAAAATGAGGGCATGAATCAACTAGCATGACATTATTTCAGCTTAACTAAATCTTAAAGGCAACTCCAATAAATTGTTTAGTACATCTAAAAGTGTGATTGATGATTCTCTATGTCATTTCATCGCTTATAACTAATTCTAAGCATGAATTGTTTAGAATTGATTGAGCATGATTATGATACGTTTATACCTGATAATAGTATTTGATAGGTTATCTATCTTTGGAAGGTATTTTTGAAATTTACTTTTTATAAAAAGTGCTCTATCGATCAATCATATGTTGCCTTTCTACTTCAGTCAATATATTCCATATTATTCTAAGGTCGGGAGATTTGAGTATACTACATATAATTTATTTGAGAAAATGGAAATGTGCTTTTTGACACATCATAATTCATGTGTTTCCTTTCAATAAAATTATTAATCGACATGCATTAAAAAAAATTTCAATTTACAAGAAGAAAAGAAGAAATTAAATAAATTTGATTACATATTATATAAAAACTAAATATAAAAACTAATTAGAGATTATGTGATCCAAGATTCTAATAATTTCACTGTACATCAGTATTGCTGGAGTATAAGTTAGAATGAAGTTAATGATGCAACTATAACTAATGTGATGTTTAAGGAACCTTTACATAGAGCAATGAAAAGCACTACGAAGAGCAATTAAAAATATAAACTATTCAAACAAGAAATGTTGCGAACGAATTCCCTTGCTCTCCTATCCTCTCAAACTCAAATGCTCCATCCAAATTCCAAACCAAACAGAAAGAGGGCGAGTTCTTTCCCTTTCTCTGTTTCCCTAACAAATTCGAAACCCTAAAATATAATAACATACCAATTAGCGAATCCTTCAATGTTGACCTCATTTACGAAATAACATAAACAATATCAATAACATACCAATTGGCGAGTACTTAAATCTTGACTTCATTTACGCAAGAACAGTAAAATACAATGATTAAACAATTAAAGGGAACAAAAAATTTCCTTCTCCATCCTTCCAATTTAAGAAGGAAGAATATCCTGCAATTGTATGTATCCACTAACACAATTCTGTCTGTAGCTGTACAGTAAAAAAATCATCGGCAGCGACACTCATGAATGCATTCCTCCATAACAGTAAAAAAGTATAAAAAAAAAGTGTGTACATGTCTGAAGAGACAGCATATAATGTTGCTAGGAGAAGAGAGTGCAGAGGTTGTAGCCAGAAATTAATGAGCTAACAGCGAAGGCAAAAAAAGCAAGAAACGCCAACGCAACTGAAGCACTCGCCATCTCAGTGAACTCATCCTTTCCCCAATTCGATTGCCAGTCATCAACGCGTGTTGCAGCAGATGATGCAGCCGATATCAGAAGATACGCCAGAACCTGCCCACAACAAATTAATTAAAAACAATAAAATAACAACAAATTAAACCTTTTTATCCTTTTTACTTGCCTGATCCATGAAGAAATCAACGTGGTAACGCAGGTGGTGACTCATCATGCTTCTCCTCCTCACTATTTCAAACCCCAAATCGCCCAATTGAAACGCTGCGTATACGAATGCAATAACATTCACCGATAAACAATACCTGAAAAAAATAATAATAATAAAAATCCCAATTATGACAATTGATAACGCGTTGACCCGAATAACAACCACACAACACAAGTACCAAAAAAACAACCGAGGAATAAAAAAATCAATTTTTAATAGAAAAAGAAACCTGTATTCCTTGTAGCGATCGAAAGAGTCACCGCTCCAACCACGGGTCTTGTCCGCAGCCATAACCGAGAACGAAATAAGACACAGCACCACCTCGCATAACCGGAACCCTAGGGCAACCTTTTTCGCCATCAAGGGCCTCGGCGGCGGCGGCGGCAGCGGCGGGGGGGCGGACCTCGGTCGGCCCCGCGCGGTGGGCGGGGAGCGAGGCTGTGGCCTGGAGTGGCGGGTGACGAGGACCTGGGGCGGCACATTGAGCGGCGGGGGTTGGTGGTCGGAGTCGGGGGCGGGGGGCGCGGCCTGGGCGAATTGAGCTGAAGTCTCGAGGATTACGATATGTCTGGAGTTGTCTGGGGAGTTTTGGGGCGAGTGGAAGGGGTCGGCGGCGTCGGAGAGAGGGGAGGAGCGGTCGTAGAGAGGGGAGTGAGGGGCTTCGAAGTGAGGGGTGTTCATGGTGCGATGGAAGTGACGATGGTGTGATGGGGGAATTTAAAGGAGGGAATAAAGAAGAAGAGTGTGTTGTGAGTTGTGACTCTCTGAGTGAGAGAGAAAGTTGAAAGGAACCGTGGGGAGTAGGGATTTTTGGCTTCGGGGTTTCCTGCCACCTCGCTTTTATTCTTCCAATAAGCTTCGCCTTCTCCTCAAGGGTGTTGTGATCGTGCCACGTATCATAGTCCTACCACCAGTTTTGCCTTTTGATTCCTGGAGTGCAGAGAGGATGAACCCATAAAGTGAGGCTTCTGTATCAGATACGGGACTCCACTGTGTTCAAACTTGAACTTGATATTCTCAGAGGATTCGTAACTCAACTTTCACTATTTTTTTATTTTTTATTTTTTATAAATATGATTATAAATAGCTTAAAACTCTTATTTAGTCCCTTATAATATTTCTTTTGTTTCAATTTAGTTCCATTTTAATTTTTTGTTTCAATTTGGTCTCTAATAATTTAAATTATTGCAATTTGAGACTTTCGTCTAAATGATTTAAACGGAGTTAACTAGTAGCCACGTGAATGTCAAATAGATGTCACGTAGGTGGATCCCAAATTTCGTGAATACACTTGGAACCTGAACGGTCTGTTCTGAAACCAGAACGACCCGTTCTGGTTGCACTCTTGGTGTGTAAATTTTGTACTTGGAACGGGCTGTTCCAAATGCAAAAATAACACATCAATAGTGTAACCAGAACGGGCCGTTCTAGTTTCAGAACGAGTTCTAGAATTTCAAAAAAAAACAACTAAGATACAAAGCATTTCAAACACTAGATTTGGTAATATTGTCAATGGAGATTGATAATTTCAATTACTAAACATTTGGATTATACAGTGTATCATTAAGGACGATGCAGTGTATCACTAAGGACAATGATAGCAGATTTTATTTCATTGTTAGTCAAACTGGAGTGAATCACTTACTACCAAATTGACACTATACAGTCAAGGATGAAACGAAACGGTGTTTTCCCTTGAAGTCATTGACGATGTCCCCCAACAATAACAATCTGTTCTTCAGGAGGTACAACCTGAATTTTTGTGATTTAAGATTTCTCTTCAGCGTTTCCCATTTCCTTTTTCAGTAATTTCTTTGAATTTTTTTAGTATATGTTATGTTCTGAATTTTTGTTTTCAGTTTCCGAACCATGTTTCTGTCTTTGAATTTATGATATGAATTTTTATTTTTAATTTTTAAATCACATTGGGGCATTTTGGTCAAGATTTTGAACTAGATAAGTTCAAATCAAAGAAGGATTTTGGAAGATCTTATCTTATTTAATTTTTTTTAGTTTTATTCATAAATGAATATTAATTTATTGTATTTTTTATTTATTGTATTTTATTAATATATATATATATAATAAAAAAATACAATAAAAAGCATGAAGTTGGCGTCCGTTCCAGAACGGCCCGTTCTAACAGCAGAACGGCCCGTTCTGATTTCAGAACGGCCCGTTTTACTGCACTCATGTTGTGTTAAATTTGCATTTGGAACGGCCGTTCCAGTTGCAGAATTAACACATAGCATGTGCAATCAGAACAGGCCGTTCTGGTTCCAGGTGTATTCACGAAATTTGGCATCCACCTATGCATCTACGTGGCATCCACGTGGCTAACAGTTAACTCTGTTTAAATCATTTAGACGGAAGTCCCAAATTACAATAATTTAAATTGTTGGGGACCAAATTGAAATAAAAAATTAAAGTGAGACTAAATTGAAACAAAAAAATATTATCAGAGACTAAATAAGGGTTTTAACCTTATATATATTAAACATCAATTTTTGTCTTATGTTGTTATAATTTTTTTTTAAATTTTATTTAAAAGGGACCGTAGGGATTTTTTAATTTTTTATTCTAATTTAGTTTAAGATTTAGAGTTTACCTTATTTTAAGAATAAGTTTATCCAGATTTACCTTTTTTTAATAATTTGTGTTTTATTATTTTAATGATCTAGTCATTGTATTATCTGTTAATTTTAATTAATAAAATAAAATATTAAATATATATTTTTTAAAATTTTCATAATTGATTTATGTATTAAAAAAATTTAATTCAATAGTTGATTCATTAAAATTTGGTATTAATCATGAGTTATTGATTAAAGTAAGGCTAAATAAACTTACTTTTGGAGTAAATAGATCTTTCTTCACACATACATATTTAACTTTTATAAATTAAATTTTACAAGAAGAGATAATAATTATAGACAAAAATAAGATCCTTGAAATGATAAATAAGAATATTATATTATCATTTTATTTTTATATTAAAATATATAATTTAATTTATTTAACTTAACATGTTAATATAAATTACACTTCTCTTTTATAAGAAATATAAGTATTGTATTATTCACCTTTCCTGTTGTTTTATTAATAAATTAATAATACCTTAATACATATATATATATATATATATATATATATATATATTTATAGAAAAATTATATTAACTAAATTGATTAAATATTATCTTAATACCTGTTTATTTTATTATACTTATATTTTTTTATTTTGATTTTGATAACTTAAAAAAATATTTTTTTTAAAATAACAATTAAATATGTAAATCAAGAAATTCATTATTAAAGTTTAACATATTTATATATTTGAGAGAATATTAGTGTTAAGTATATTTTGGTAATCACTTTTTTTATAATAAAAGATAACATAAATTTGACAAAAAGAAAAAAGTTAAATGGGTTGAGATAATGCCTTTTTACTTTCTTTAGTGCTTCTCATTTAAAAAAAGCTTCATTAACTCAATAATGCCTTTTTTTTCTTTAATGTTTCTCATTTAAAAAAAGGCCTCATTAATTCAGTAATTTTTTTTTCTTTCAGTATCCCTAAAATAACTTTTTGATAACTAGGCTTAACAATTGTTGATAATAACGGGGAGTATGACCACATTATATTTGCATAACAAGAAGTTCACTCTCCTCACCTTTAAATTTGCATGATCAAACAAGATAATTTACAAGAAAAATAATTGGAGGAAATCCAAGTGGGTCCAGTCTAAATAGCTACAAGCTTTTACTTTTCTAATGGAGAAAGACACATCGCATTTCTTTCATGAGTGGGCTATCTTACGTGTAGAAAAGGCACAAATTCCTTAAGACACCACAACCAAACGTCTATTGGCAATGTTTCTGCCACGCATTTTAATGAGACGCATTTTATTAAAAAATAAATTAAAATCTGCTGTGTAAAGTAAAGTAATCTCCTATAAGATGAAAGGAAGCTCGTCTTACTTGTCACAGAACACCGTTTATTATCTTCACCCACCAGGCCACCACCAAAAGCACGTATAGGTTTATACAGGAATCTACCCCTCAAGTGCATCTTTCTCCCAAAATTATCTTGAGGCACATGCGAGCTTGTGATACCATAATCATATTCTTTCCTCTTCAAGAGAGCATAAGAAACATATAACTTTGACTATTATTTCCTGTCTTTGCAGAGAAAAGAATAACCACAGGATATATATAAAAGAATTTATTGGAAGTTATAAAAGTTTTGCGAATACTGAAGTTACGTTTTGAAAAAGAATTGTGAAAAAGTTATCAACATAATCAATTATTTCAATAATTGATTATATTAATAAAAATTAAATATTTTATAATTAGAATAAAATTTTGCTTGAATAATTCTGTTGAAAAACAATTTTAAAATACTTAATTTCATTTAAACACAACAAAAATATCATGTAGTAAATCAGCTTAAAAGAAGAAGAAAAAATTATAGAAACATAATCTTAAACTTTACATTTTCAGCTTCATAAAAGTAACATTTTTTTAGAAAAAGAAATTGTTTACAAATTTAAACTGTTATCTCAATTATACAATTTATTTTGCAAATAGTTTTTTCCCTTAAAAAAGTAGCTGAAATTGAGAAAATTAACATTTCATAAACATGCTCCAGAAAAGATTAATCATGTTAGCAATTATATAAAGAATTAATAACAAAATATGCACATTCCATAAAAGTGTATAATTTCTATTATGATGTCCATAATCCTAAACTCGCTGCAGAAAAAAAAAAGTGAAAATATCTTATCCCTGCAAGATGGAAAAAGGCAAAAGCAGAATTCAATATATAATTAGAATTTTAAACTCTTTACAATTCATTAAACATAAAAGACAACTACACATTTGCCAGCTCTAATCTATGTTAGTTAAGCAAAAAGGTATACTTTGATTTTCAAGTCCTACAACTCCGAGACGCCCCGACAAGAAACTGACCCAATTCTTTATGGATCAAACATGAAAATTTCTTGTTAGAATGTGAACCATTTTTATAGGGGCCAGATATGGATATGCATTTTTCACCTTCTCTAGAATGGGTTAGAAATATTATAGAAATACAGAAACAGTATAACCTAGCTTTGTGCAGAAGAAAGACTGAGAGCGGCAGGCATGGATTCGACAGAAAAGACATGGTCTTCAGATGATGCATTTTGAGTCACAATTGATACAACACCGTTCTCAGCATTTTCCAACATATTAGTTGTGTCACCCACTGGCTCTGCAATTTCAGCTCGGACTGGGCGCAGAAGACCCTGCAATCTTAACCGGTAACTTTGACTAGATGGTTGACCTCTCACATATCTGGTTGTTGTCACAACACTGGCAGAAGATCGTTCAGGCTCAGCACGGAGATTGGACAGTGCACTAAGATCAAGGTTTGGGAATACTGAGCAACGGCAACGAGGACATTTCACATTCAGCCTAAGCCACTCATCAATGCATTCAACATGAAAATTGTGCGCACAAGGTAGGCCACGGACCTGCATTAAAGTAAGCTCGAGACTAATTTTCAGCTGCTTTTTACAATACACATTGCATCTCAACATTCTTAAAAATGCAGGGATCCAAGAATTCGTGAAGTTAGACAAGGAGCACATTTTCAGTTATGGATAGCAACCAGTGCATGGTATGACGCGTTTGAGACCCTTAATTAGGAAAAAGTATACCTCATTCCCTACATAGAACTCTTCTAAGCAGATGGGGCATTCACTGCAATCAGTAGGAACAGCCTTTAACCTGAACTTTGGAAGTTCCTGAATTAAAGCTTCAACTGCTTCTCTCTGCACCCAACCCAGACAAAAATCCCAACTATCAGAAGTGAAACTGAATCAACGTACCAAAGGAATTTCAATAAGAGATAAATGTACGACAAAATGATAATCAATACATTGTCCAAAAACAGAAAACAGATGGTATGACTAATTCACAAAAATTCAAGCCATGTATTCCATTAACTAATGAGACTAACTCACAATAAACTTCACTGTACTTGACAAAGAATAACGTGATCTCCTATTCTCCTACTTTACAGAAGTTCTAATATGAAACCAATAAGACATGAAACATCGGTCAAAACTACCTGAGCTGGAGTTAGGTAAAGTCCTGGATGATATGCAGCAGCATCTTGGCCCATGCCCCTTGTTTCTTGACCTGCAGCTTCAAATGCCCAATCAGGCACTCGGATCATGTCAACCAGAACCTAACAAAAAGAAAAGAGCAATTGTTACAATCTAAAAATTGTAAAGTATGTATACTCAAAAAGAAATTAATATGCATCTAGATTGCTAAGAATATGAGTACAGCTCACACTTCAATCAACATAGTATATACAACAAATCTTTGAAATAAGAGACAAATAGATTAATGATATTGCCTCTTGAAACCAACATTGGTTGACACAAGTAATTGCAACTTGTGTCCCTTAATCAAAATGTTCAAGGTCCAAATGCTGACATTAGATATGAAATAAACTATGATAAGAAGGGAATACCCACCTTGTGTGCACTTGTGGTCTCTGACAAAGATTAGTCACTGCTTTCGGTGGATACTTTGTACTAATACCATAGTTACTATAAAAAAATATTGCCTCCAGAAAGAATCCAGCAGTATGAGTAGGGTAACAATATTTTTTATTGTAAAGTGGATGATTTAGTTTTGATTGTGGAATCAAGAGAAACAGTTAACTTTAAACTTGAGCTTAGGAGACAAACTTTGGAAATAAAGCTTTCAGTTAAGTAGGAGTAATACAAAATATATGCATAATAATTTTAGCAAGAGACAAGAGAAATACGACTTCAAAGTAAAATTGGGAGAAGATATTATACCATAGGTTTCAGTTTAAATATCTAGGACCAAATACTACAAAATGATGAAGAAATAAATGAGAATGTCACACAATAGATACAGGCAGAATAGCTAAAATGGAGAAAGATGTCAGGGATTATATGCGACTGCAAAGTACCTACCGAGCTCAAAAACAAGTTGTAGCAAGAATGCTAAAATGGATGTGTGGCCACACAAGAAAGGATGGGATACAAAATGATTGTATATTATTACAAGATGATATTGGTGTGACACCGATTAAGGAAAAGATGACAGAAAACCAGTTAAGGTGATTTGAACACATACAAAGAAGACCTGTAGAAACACCAATGAGCAGAGTAGAATGTTCGGTTTAGTCCTTTGAAGAGGGATCTGATGGTAAATTTTATCTCTAAAGTTTGGCCTTTAAACTGTGATGAATAGTGTCATGCGATCCATGCACCTGACCTCACCTAATGAAATAAGGCTTTTATTGTAGTTTTTGGAAAATGGGAATCCCACGAATGAGGTAGAGTATACTTAGTGTTCATTCCATTCATGACAGCTACAGATACAAGTATTTTGGAAGGAGAGAGGTTACAGCCACATGCAACTTTGTTACCATAGGCAAGGGGCTGTGTCCCAGAACAGTGAGAATGAGAACACTGTTATATATGGACAACTGACAGAAAAACCAACCATAAAGCTGACAGCGAAATAAAACACAATTCAATATATAATCTGGAAAATGTGCACAAAACAAAATAATCTAACATGCTACTCAGCAAGTAAGCATTCTCCAAAATGTAAGACCAAGATTAGTGTAACTTTATAAAATGAAAATTGTGACATGGTTCACAAAATAAAAACAAGTCTATAAAATTAGAACAAGGCAATTTGGACTCGTACTCTTTTAGTGTATTTATTAGAAAAGATTGCATCAGATGATTAGCTAGCTTCAACAGCATGTCAAATTACGAGTTATTTCAAACTTAACAAATAATTGCCTGTACCAACTACAAAATCAAGAGAAACAGTCCCTTGTTCCCTTTCCTTGCAAAGGGGAAAAAAAGAAGGAATTCTTTTTCTAGGTTATTCAGAAAATTTTTTAGAAACACTCATAACACAGTGACAGAGCAGTATCCACAACACATATAACTAACACAGTAACATAGGTTGAGTAAAGGTAAAGCTTACCCCATACTCGGAAACAGGGATACCCTGTTGGGCACGCAATAAATGTGCTTGTCTTCGTGTCAACCACTGCAATGAGTTAAACAAACCATAATGAGTATGGTGCCAACCTAGATAATAAACAACAAAGGAGAACAGTATTCTGCTGATTTTTCCTGTTGATGGGTTGTTCAGAAACAAGAAAACTATGACAAACAGAACAAAAAGATTTTGCACAAAGAAACAAGCCATAAAAGCATATAGTGATAGCAATAGAGCACTACTAACCTTCCCCAGAGACATACAAGCAATGCAAAGGAGTCCACAATAACTAAAAAGTAACCAGATGAGAAAGCCCCATTTTTGACCCTGTTCAGGCAACTGTAGATAATTATTTGAATTATGCATCATATGCTTGTTAACAAGAGTACATTGAAGATTGAACAAGAATAACACATACACAATTCTTGGCACTGCTGAAACACAGGGTACCAATTACAGTCCAAGTCCAAAGAAATGGATAGAGAAGCAACACAAGGATTGAAAGGACAACCACTCGTCCACAGAAACGAGCATATCTCTGCTGCCACCCAAAATCTCTAGAAGCATACAACCAGGGAAGGGGCATAGAAGTGCAATGAATTAGTACTGGGATTTGATAAACTAAAGCATCATTTGATATGTGTGTTTGTTTAAATGCAACACAAAAATTCAGAACCATTTTAATTGAGTTTGATAATATTATGAAATCAAAAAGTCAGTCATCAAGCCAAAATGATCTTAAATGATTTTGTACTTGAATGCTCAACTGCCAAAAGTGTGTTTGTTTAAAGGTTTAAAATTTATTCCCGGGAATGTGAACTTGGAAATGTAGTATTTTCATGTTTCCTATCAAAAAAATTATTCCCATGTAATGTTCATGCCCGAAAAAGTAACAATTCCTTCTTTTACTTCATTTTTGTTCTCATGGGAATCTCGGATGTTATTTGCCAACTCAATATAACTACCAATTCTACTTATATTTTTTATTTTAATCATTTTGAATTTTAAAAATACTCCTAAGAATATTAAAATTTAACCAAAATGTTCCCAGGAAAAACATTCTTAGAGTATTGTATTACTAAGAATGCAATATTATACCTTTAAATAAATGCCCCCAAGAGAACTTAAGTGGAAAACGAACCCACAAAACCCTTTCCAAAATACCTATGAAAATAACCTTTTCAAAACAGGTCATTAATATTTTCCATACTTTTATGTCCACCTGTTCTGCAGTGCTATTTTAACATTTAAACTTAAGCCATGCCACCCATTTCAAGGCCCTATGTGATTCAGGATGCATACTAGTCTGTCTCAACAAATTTCTCTCATGTTAAAATTAGAATCATCCGTACAATGGCATCAGAACAGAGACAAACATGTAGACATCAGTAATGTCCAAAATTATAAGACACCATGACAAGAATATATATAATTACATAGAATTAAATATGAACATCATTTATAGAAGATCTAAATAGTGAATCAAATTGTTAAGTACTCCCTCCATCCCTAATTATAAGTTTATTTTAATTAATTCACACTCATTAAAAAAATTAGTTAGTTTAGTTAGTAGCATTGAATTTGTTAACAATTTGTATTATTTTCCCCCAAAATTAATTAATGTGCGCAAGTCATGTTCTCTAATAGGTACATATTAGTTGGAGGCCTTAGTTAATTGTTATATTTAGTTCATTTGTTGTAATTAGGGGGCTGAATGATTATAAATAGGAGGAATGATTGAGACATCGGGTATCCTGTTAATTGAGAAAAGTTAGGGCCATTGGGCATTGGGAGGTGCAGACCCTTAAAGCTCTGCTATCACACATAGAATTAGGGAAATTCCCTCATTTTCTCTATAATTCTAATCTAGTTTCTATTATCACCTAGTATCAAAGCTCCGATCTTGGAGCTGTGGATATCAATTATTGAAGATGATTCCAGAATTTGCACGAAAAGAAGCCTATTGGTGTCTGATTAAAATGGAGCAGCACTTTGAGGCCATAGGAATAACCGAGGAAGAAAGATACAAAGGGTTGGAGAGGCTATGCAAAGATGTGCCACATAGACATGAGCACATTAGTTGCATGCAGAATTGTAGATTGAATTCATCAACAACATCCACATGCTAAAAGTTGGAAATCAACATGTGCACAAGTATTTTTGTTACGAGGAACTAGCTAACAACACTTTCTAACACATTATTTATTAGTTGCTGAAATTTATTAATAGGGAGTGAAACCAACATTATTCTGCGAGTTCTAATAAGCTTCAGCCAATAATAATATATTTGATAGAAGGGATGCTAGTATTTCTCCTTAGTTACAAAATGCATTTAATGCACATTTGATGTTATTAGATAAACTAAAAGAAACATATAAGAACGGTGAAACACCGCACCTTATCCATCATACTCAAATTTCAATTATATTAGTGCATACAACCAATGTAAAATTGAAGAAAACAACTTAAACATTTCTATTAAATAGTCAACAATGACATCAATATTTATGAATGGAAGGCCTTACAAACCCATTCCCGCAGCTAGCCCATTATCAACAAACATCAAGAGCCGGAAAACAAACACGGTAGTGTAGTCGACCTGAACACAGAAACAATGAAAGAAAAGGAAAGGGATCATTTACAAGACAACCGTATCATATGAAAAAAAATAGAAATAATAACAAACTTAAAAGGAATAATTTAAATAAGGAAAGAAAACCCCACCACAATCCATATGTGCAACGGATATGTGCAAGAATGATAGCGATTCCAATTAATTGCAACAATGACTCTAGAAGTAAAGGTTAAAGAATACATGCATATAACAGTAGAGTACAAAGCTATAGTGACGAGTGATGACTTGTGTTGAAAAACATTAATCAAACGGGTAAATAAGGAAGGAATTACGAGGCAAATGAAAATGCAGGAAGACAGCAAAATTAGGAAAAATCCAGAAACTGAATTATGGAATAGTGGAAGGATACACACTGGTGGCGAGCATGGACAAAAAAAAGCCATCATACCTGCAAGAAATAAGTTACATTCAATCAAATAAAACACAAGGTGATATAGGAATCAAACTCATAAAATAGATAAACAACAAACCACTTGAAATCCACGCCTCTGATGGCCATGAGAAATGATTTAAAAGAACCCTAAGGGAAAGAAACCGTGTCGTATTATAGAATCTTCCTAAGCAGCAGGAAAATACATGAATCGGATGGAGAGTGAAATCGGAATTGGATATAGATGCATACGAAGATTAAGAAAGGGAAAAGGGGAAAAGAGAAGAGTGAAGTGAAAGATGAAGCAGGATTAGAAAAAGAGAAGAAACAGTAAATAAAAAAATAAAAAATAAAGTGTCTATTTGAAGTGTGAGTGTGAGAGGATGAACTAACAAAGCACAACACAACACAACACAACACACGCACCGCACCGCCAACGACATTGACTTGTGCGGATATGTTTGTGTGCGCGCGTGTTGTACACATGCACTTCTTCATATTTACTTCGCGACTCGGCGTTAAAAATTGTCATGTCCACTGCGAGGGTGACTTTACTCTTTATTATTACTTTTTACTTTTTATTTTAGCGCGTGCGTGTGTCTACGTCGTCACTCTCGTAACTTCAGTTTTACTACTTTTTATTAGATTTCAATTATCTCAATTGTGGTGGGGAACGTGCCACTCCATAACAGATGCTTTGAGAAATACTTGATCATTAGATTGGGGATCAAAAATTGCAAAAAAAGAAAAAATAATTAACCAATAAAATGTAAAACAGATCAATTTATAATATCAAACAATAATTATAGCAGCATCATTACTATTCATCATTTTTCATGTAAACATAGTAAGATAAGAATAAAATAAAAACATTATTGTCTGTGACGTCTATGACTAAACAAAGACAATAGCTTTAGTTTTCAATAATAAAAGCAATTGTATCTGTGTTCTCGATTCATATTGTTGCACTCATATTTCAATAATAATAAATCTATACCTAACAATTCTCTCAAAATATTTTAACAAACCGTGTCAACAAATCCTGTAATTGAAGAAAAATTGTATTTTTGTTCCAAAAAATTACTGCCGTGATTGAAAGTGTTCTTACACTTCTTCAGGTGGACACGTATAGACAACCTACAGAACACACAAATGAATTTCAAGTGAATGGTGCCAACAATTCCAAAGAAAAATTTATATCCACTGTACAACATCCAACCTACTTTAAATTAAAATTCAACTATCAGACCTCTTTCAATTTCGGGTGAAATTAAATATACCTTTAATCTTTTAATAATGCAGTTCTTGGCGGAAAAGAAAATCACTAAAACAATGCAACAATTGTGCAAAACATTTGTCACTCTTAATTTTCTAATATTCATATAGTCGTATAGAAATAGATTTCCATTTGTTCCTTTCTGAAACTGTACCTCACATTGGACTATACTATTGGAATTACTTATGTTATGGATCTTGTCTTTGAACAAAGTTTTGATGGAAAATTTATCTTGAGTATTTTGTTTTGATTAAGGAATAATATGTGAATGTCATTACTAGCTCCATAATATTGTCATCTCTGTAGTCTTGATCATTGTGCGCTTCAAATTGGATATATTCAAGTACAAAGAGAGTCAGGGATAAATGACCCATAATACACGACAGGGATACCACCTCAAGGCCCAAATCATCTCATACAAAACCCAAACTGATCTTTAGGCTTTCACTTAAGATTTATGAACTCACATTCATCTAATTATCTTTAGTTTGAATTAGGATAATAGGTTTTTTTACTTTATAATTAGACATCAGAAGAACTTGAACTGTTATCCAATATCCACATTCCTGCTATAACGAGAAAGAAAACAGTTAGTTACAATTTGGTGGGTTCTTGGAACATTTATATACAGCAGATGCAGGCTGTTTATATGTAGGAATGTCATTGGGATCAACAAAGCGGACTTCACCAGGTGCAAAAGACAGATCCCTGTGCCTGAAATTCAAGAAAAGCAACAAAAATAAAACCTTAATTAATTGAAGTTTTAATTAAAACCATACATACACATAGTAGCTTTAGCTCGGGACTATGCATTTAGTTACCTTCGCAGGTCAAGTCCTATCAAACCAGCCTGAAGGATTGTCAAGTTGTCAGAATCTGGCGAGACTATAATAACCGTGTCACCAGAATACTGAGTTTCAAGAATTGACATGAGCTGTGTCACACGAACAAAAACATCCGCAACACTCTCATTCGGAGTCCCGTCATCAATGGGAGGAGGTTTGATGTTTGGAGATACACCATCTGACGCATACACCTGAAGGACCCACTTTGGTTTTAATCTTCTTTTTTTTACACTATCATTTGACAATGTGTCACCACGTCTTGGTTGGTGAGTTATGAATTTTTTTTTCTTTTTTTTTTTTGGCATATAATATGTCAAAGTTGTCGATTAATAATTAATTTAAGTTTGTAAAACGTGATCTTAATCAAATATTATGTTAATATAGATGAAAATTGATATCGAAAGCACTATAAGGATTCTCGTGTCTAGGCAGATTTTATAACCATGGGAACAAGAGATTTAACGTGGTGTGTTATGAACTTAAAGCGCATGAAACTTAAACAAATGTATTGAATTGTGCTATTTAAGGAAAAAGGCAGAGGGAGAAATCCTACTTCTGAAACAGATTCCAAATTTTTCCCTTCATAAGCACCCAATCCACGGGCATCGAGAAAGCTGTATTCTGGGACTATATAACTGAAATGAAAGAAATTACAAGTATGGTGAGGTTCCATATGTGGAAGAGTAGTGGAATTATATAGAAAAGAGAAAAACAAACCTACGGGTAACTCCATTAACAGAAGCAATGATCTCAGCAGTCTGGTAAGCTCTCTGAGTTATAGCAGGCCAGATCCAACAGCCCTTGTCACATGCTCCCATTTCTTTCAAATCAAAAGCTGCTTTAATAGCCTGTTTCTTCCCTCTTTCAGACAATCCGTTATCCACAGAAGTCTTAGCCACCGGGTTGGTGTTGATAATTCCCATGCTCTCGAACTCAGACTCACCAGCTCTCACCATAAAATACCTTCCAACACAAACACGTACGCCACCACCCAAGTAAGAACATATTTACTAATTATTAGAGTATACCAACATTTTAGCCCTGATTTTGTAAGACATTGTCATATCAATATTGACATTCAAAAGTTGGCAAACAAAACTCTCAATTTCATAATTATTATTATTATCTACACTAATTCTCCTAAAATTTTATAAAATGATAGATAAATCCTACAGTAACATAGCGGCTGAGGGATTACCGGTTGAGGAGGCGAGGCGGGGGCATTTGGAAGAGGCCGGTGGCGCTGGCGACCGGGTCTGATACGGAGAGGGAGGTTGTGAAAGAGACATTGAAATTGAAGGAAATGGTGAATGCAGTGGTGCTGAGGAGGTGGCGGCGACGGAGGAGGATGTTGACGGGCTCGGGAGGAAGACCCGACGGTTGTGGAAGAAGAAGAAGAGAAGGTGTCTCGCGCGTGTGATTTGGTGCCAACATTTTGTTCCAATTAATGCCACAGGTTTACAACCTTATCGATACCACCACCATCACGTAAACGACGATACACGGAATACCGTTTTAGTGGACAAAAAAATAACGACACCATTTATCTTCAAATTTTAAATCTCAGATATAAATATATTATGTTAAACTAGCATTAAAAAAAAAGTAAAATGGTTCATATTAAAATAAAAATAAAAAATAATTATTAAAAGGGATACCTTTTTTATATAATGGTATAGATTTAAGTTTGTTTTTTTTTTTTTAAATCTATCATTATTTTAATTTGACTTTAATTTTAAATTTTAACATATTATATAAATAAAACAATATATTTTCATTTTAATGATTTGTTTTCATAATTTTTAAAGTAAAAGCCTTTTTTAATTAATTTAAATTTAATATAATGAAATATTAATTAATAATCATAAAAAATTATTTTTTAACTTTAATTTGTTTTTATATATAAAATTTTGTTTAAATTTAAAAACACTCCTACATTACACTACATGGGAATTTTGCGATTTAGACTTATCTTACAATATGAAAACAGTCAAAGTTTGGTAAACTGTAAAAGTGGTTTATGTCTTTTTTTTAAATAACTTTTAGTGTAATAATTACTTAATCCACCCTATGTGTTTTCTTTTTCAAACAAGAATATTTTTATATTCTCATCCAACAATACGTTTGGTTCTAACCCTTAGTATGATTGTGCCTCTACAACATCTTTGTTTCCTTCGGCAAAAATGAGTTATTCCATAAACTTATCTGCACAATAGTACCACGAGGCTCAAGATTTATTTCTCTTTCTAGTAACATGTCTCCTACTAGTTAGATTCACCTCCTTAATCATTAAATATATTCTCATATTTATTATTAAATATTAGAGATGCTACGGGTTCGACACAACAAACTTGTGAGTTTATAAAAAAAAATAAAAATTGTTGAGTGAATAGATATCAGTAAGCTCAATCTATTAATTTTTTTTCCACGTATTTGAAATGATTTGTTTTTCACCTTAAGAAATACCGTCATTTCTGTCTTTTTCATTTTTTTTTGTCTTTTCTTATTTTTAAGAAATCTAAATTATTCTAATTTAGTTTGATTATTGTTAGGATAATAGTAATTTTGTTAAAATAAAGTTATGTGTTTAAAAAGAAAAAAAAATATGTTAGCTTTTAAAAATAAAATTATGTTAGCTTTTGGATTTCCTTCTTGTGATAAGAATAGGCTCAAATGGTCAAACAATTTATTTGACTATCTACTTAAGGTTAGTTTGTGTGATCAAATTTTCAAACAACACCTCTTTCTTCTTTGTGCTGGGAGGGAGGTGATCATCTATTGTTAGGTTGGCTTTTTCTCAAACAAAACACAAATCACAACACTTCCTATGTCAAGAAATTCAAAATTGTTTAGTGCAAGCTTAGAGACTCAAAGATGGTATTCTATAGATATTATCACAAAAGTGATATATAATGACTCTCGACACTAGATATTTTAGTTTTTGTACAGATGAAAAACATAACAAAATGTGGTATTTAATGTAAAAAGTTTAGCTCATTGTTAGTTCAAAATGATTTTACAAAAGGTTAGATGGACACAATAATATTAAAAAAAATTCAATAAAATGAAATTTATTAATTGTACATGGTTATGTGAATGATCATATTTGGTGTCACTTTCAAAAAAAAATATGCAAGTTCATTATATCCCACTTAATCAAGTGAAGAAGGATCATTTAGAAAAAAATTAGACTCGTTATTGAGTGAGAGCAACAACTATTAAAGAAAATATAGAATAAAACAAAGGTCAACTTGCATATTCACCATACATCCACAATTCAATTATAATTAGGGATTCATTTGTTGTTGGATCAAGTTGATTTTTTGATAACAAGATTGTTAGATGTAGTTCTTCTTTAAACAATAGGGTTGTTGAAAGGTCTAAGGAGAGAGAAAATTCGTTTGGAAGAGGGGCACTATTTTTTTAAGCGTTTCATCTTTTTATTCACCATTTGTAAGCATGGGTGATCTAGTTGATTGTATATATGCATTGTTTGTGCACTTATTGAAGACTCTTTTGTATTCTTTATTAGTTATAGTAAAATTATTTCTTTGGTTTAGAGGATTTGTAATTTTTACTCTTATATTGAGAGATTTTTCATATTAAAAATATTCTTTACATCCTGTGCATATTGTAATTTTTATTTTTCTTGATTTTGTTGGTATTTCTTGCAAATTTTTGCAAGTTGAAAATTTTTATTTCTATATTGTTTATTGCTCCATTGTTGAATTATTTTTATTGCGACAACTTTTCCAATCAATTAGTTCAAACCTATGTTGTCAAAATTGGACTAAATTGGTTGAATTGGGAATATGAAAGAATCACAAAATTGATGTGTAAAAGAATTCATAAAAGTGACATGAATCAATTCAAAATCAGTTGAAAACCAATCCAAAAAATTGGGTTGAATTGGTCTTTTAATTTTTATTTATTTTCTATATTTTTTAAAATATTTTTATGATAAATAAATAAGTATATTTAATAAAAATTATAAATTATAATTAATTTATATTATTTATTATTTTTAATATAATTATTTAAAGATATAATATATTCATTTATATTAATTTATAA